AGAGAAGATGATCTGGGCTCTCACCTCGGTCTCCTTACACACAGAGAAGCTGTACCTCTGGAGGATCTCCACTATTGCAAGTTTCATCACAACCAGAGCAAATCGCATCCCAATGCAGTTCCTCGGGCCTGCTCCAAAAGGCATGTAGCTGTACGGATCAATTGTCTCCTTGTTTTCCTTGCTGAACCTGAGAACACACACACACACACACACACACACACACACACACACACACACACACACACACACACACACACACACACACACAGTATATTAACAACAGAAATGGGGTTATATCCCACAGAGCTTCATTCTGCTTTGTCACATCAGACACCTTTCCGTACCTCTCAGGTTTGAATTTCTCTGGTTCAGGCCAAATCTCGGGGTCCCGGTGCATCGGCCAGGTGGGGACCACGACAACCATACCTTTTGGAATCACAAAGCCATTTATCTCCACACTGGCCTTGGCCACACGCTCCAAACGTGAAGCAATGGGGAACAATCGGAGAGACTCATTGATGACACAGTCGAGATACTCCATCTGCATTAGTTCCTGGTACTGGATGGGAGCCTGAACACAAGCACATAAACATGACTGATGATAGAGACATAGTAAGAAGCTGAACCCTGTGCTGATTTTATATATGAGTACAATATATAAAATAATATAATCACCATAACACAATATCATTATAACACATTATATCTACTGTATGATTTACTTTAGTTTAGTTATGCTAGAAAGAAATATATTGTCTTATATTAAGAATTCTGTGTTGTTACCTTGTTAGGGAAGGTTGCATCCACCTCCTCCTGCAGCTTTTTCATCACCTGAGGGTTTGTTGCCAAATTGTAAGACAAGAAAGTGAGAGAGCTGCTGGTCGTTTCGTAGCCAGCAAAGAGGAAAGTCATTGCTTGGGAAAGGATCTCATGATCTGTCAGACCTGAGGAGGTAGGAGGGATATACACGTTAGAACAGCTTTAAGCTGGTTTTTCCATGTGTGGAGACGTGTGTCCGTGTATCACCTTTATCCTGTTTGGAATCATTATTTTGCTGAGAGTCGATCATTAGCTGGAGGAAGTCCACTCGAGTCTGGAAGTCAACAAACACAGTCTGAGAACAGCTGTGATTTTATGTCAGAACAGGTTATTGGTACAAACACAAACTCACAGCCGTACCTTTTGTTTGCTGCCCTCACGATCAATCTTGATCTTCTGTAGTGCAGCGTAAAAGAAGTCTGTGACAGATGCAGGGAAAAAGGAAAACTCCAATTTTTCCAATATGGGAATCATGAAGGGAAAGAAGGCTGAAATTAAACAAACAAGAGGACATTTATTAATGGAAGATGAAGGACAGCAGCTGCATTGATGGACATGTTGTAGTGGTGCCCAGTTTGATCCCAGGAGGAGACACAAATCCTCACCAGGAAAAAATCTGCCAAAACAAACACGCAGAGCTACAAGCCAAGGTAAACACTTGTTGAATAACGGGAGCAGTCAAAAGGAGCTTCATGTATCAAAATGAATATTTTACCAATAGTGAGGACGATGGGGCTGAAAAGGTCAAATTTCAGCATCTTTTTGATGTTCATGACAAAAGGATCTGAGGGGTTGTTGAGAGAGTCGATGTCCACACTGAAGGCGGTGCTGGTTACCACATCCATACTGTAGGGTCCGAAAAACCTGCAAAACCACACAAACACATCAAACATGACCTTTATTATTGCAGACTTAGAAGAGATGAATCTGCGCTTTTTCTGATGTATTTAAATGAAAACAGTATGAGAGTTCTCACTCTTTCAGCTCTAGAGGTTCATCTTTATCTGCTTTCTTTTTCATGCTGCTGATCAGGACAGCTGAATGCTGCTTCATGATGTCAAACATCTGAGGCACAAACAGACAAAAAACAACAACGTCAAAAATGTTGAAACCGGATGCAATTACAACAGCACAGAGTATATATTGGGACTTCCAGGCCATACTCGGCACAGATGTTTCTGAATACTATGCCGCCAACTTGGTTATGGCGTTCCATGAATGCCCTGCCTGCTAGCATCTTGCACCCTGCCATCATGAGCTGGACTGTCTGAGGGGCATCTTTACACAGCCTGCACCTGGGGTCTTGCCTGATGTGATAGAACCCAGCCTCTATGGATCTTGTGCTCAGAGCTTGTTCCTCTGCTGCCATGATTAGTGCCTCTGTGCTGTCTTTCAGTCCAGCTTTGTCCAGCCACTGGTAGGACTTCTATCTGCCGGTGGTACATACCATGCAGGAGCCTGTCCTTCCATGACGGTTCCTCGTCTTACTCCTCTTTCCCAGGTTTCTGCTCCCTGAGGTATTCACTGATGCTTCAGTAGGGGCCATCTTCCTGATGTATTCATGGCTGTTCATTGTCTCATCCTGGACTGCCTCCTTCCTTCTGCTTAGCGTACAGCCTCAGGTTGCCCGACTTGGGGTGAGTCATAGGCCTTCTTGTAATCAATCCAGGCAGTGCACAGGTTGGTCAGCCTAGTCTTGCATGATTCTTCATGAAGAAGGTGCCTAAGAAGCACAACAAGCTGCCCATACCTGAGGCCTTGCAAACTGCCAAGTAAAGACTCATAGCCTTGGCTAGTGCCTTGAAGAGGTATACCAGAGATAGAAGGCAGGAGAATAAATCAGCTGTAATCCACTGAGCCATTCAAGATGTACTCTCAGTGGCAAGGGAACAATATGAGAACAGCCCCACCAAGGCTGGGGATGGAGCAATACTGGAAGAGCATATAGTACTTTCAATCTACAGAGATCTACAGAGATATGCAGACTATACAGTATATTTATGTTACTTAATTTTTATCCACCACATGAGGGAGTATTATTGCCAGCATTATGTTATGCTTGGATAATGACAATAAAGAAACTTGAATCTTGATGCTATGTTTACCTTTTTAAGTGAATGCTTTTTGCTTCTTTTGTTTTTCAGCATGCAAAAAAAAAAGAAAAAGGCAGAGAGTGGGAGAGGGATGTACCTCTTTTAGTCTCCCAGAGGTGAAGGAGGGAGAAAGGACGCTGCGGATCCTCCTCCACTGATCATCCTCTGCAACTGTCACAGCATCGTACAGCGGCCCATTCAGACGGAAATTCTGTAATAACATTCAAAGCAGCTGGTGATGAGGACAGAAGGTCAGATTTTTTTTAAAAAGAGACTGATTGAGTCGTATAATGTCCTTACTAACCCTGCGGTTTGTGAAGAAAGAGTAACACTCCTTTATCAGGATAGTTTTTATCATAGCAGGATCAGTGATACACAACACGGGCTGACGGCCATCAAAAATGCTGCGTACCACGACAGTAGAAGAAACAAGAAATAAAACAACTGAACATGCGAACAAGTGAAAGTAATACATTTTTCACTTTCACTTTCACACAGGTCTGCATGATTATTATTTACATCCATAGAAAAGCAGTCATGTACTGTAGACAACATAACTTACCCCCACATTTTCCCATATTTCTTATGACACTCTTCATCAAAGTTAAAAAATCCCTGGAAATAAGAACGAGATATACGGATGATTAATGAAACTTACCAAAAACACAGGTCACGTTTAACAAAGTAGAGACATTACAGGCATAACAGCATCAGTGACGTTAACTTCTAATGATACTGAAGTAACGTTGTGAGGTTTTCTACTTCCTGAGTTAACTAGTTAATCCAGATGTCTCAGTGGCTTTAATCAAAAGTCCGTCACAAGCTACTCAGATATTATTGCTTAAGAGTGCTTGTTGTTGTGTACAGTAGCCAGTTTGCATGTTTCATGCCATACAAATGTGTTTGACAACAGGTGCCTAACATTTAGAGGGGTCAGGGTGAAAGGGTCTTTCATAACCTGAAAATAACTGTACAAAACAACAGCTAAATAAAAAAACTACACTATTCAAATATGATTGTAGTTGAAAAACCAATGAGCTATTGGAAGACATTGTCCTCGGTGTATACAGTGTAGGCTGGTATCCCACCTTTCTATATGCCAACATGGTGCCAAAAAATGGGATAGGTGAGGGCCCAGGGACGCCTAATCTCTTAAATGTCCCATATGTCCAGCAGGAATACCTGGAACAGGTGTAAGAGATTTTAAAAAGCAGCAAAAATAGTACAAATACCTGAACACATCCAGTAATCTTTAAAACTTACACAAACAGCAGCGTGACGAGGGCAGCCAGCAGGGTCCATGTCCATGACAAGAAGAAGAAGTACCCCATGTCTGCAACGTTCCTCTCTTCTCTCAGCGATTACACAAACCTATGTGACGAGAGGCTTTTGTCTCCTGCTGCACATACTGTACCTGTTCTGTGAGTAAGGAAGGGGCGTTGGAGCCGATCCAATGGCAGGAGGAAGCATAAACAGAGACAGAGCTCGAGGAGCATTTACTGTGTATCAGTTAGTTTGATTAGCTCTGCCATGTGTAGTACTGCAGTCTTCATCATTTGTTATTGTACAGCTTGGATTAAAAAAGAAAGAAACCAGCTTGGATTAGCATATAGGTTTTTCTTCTCCTACACAAGAACTGAATGTTTTTCACATCGTAGTTTCTTCAATAAGTGTATGATTCAAACACCAAACATCAAGTCATTCAGCACGCTATCAGTCAGACTGTTTTATGTATACATGCTTAATTCCATACTGTGCTCACAGCAAAGCATGTCCAGACGTGCTCGGTGCTTTCTGTTGGTGGCAGAAAATGCTTTCACTGCTTCTTCCCAGTATGTGCTCACAGCACAGAAAGAGAAAAGAGGCTGAAGAGTTTTCTTATTCTTATTCGTACCAAGGGTAGGTGCACAGTTTTGCTAAACCAGTGACAAAGATACTTCTGAGCCCCTGAAACAAGAGCCATGAAGTGGTTACAGGAAGAGGGTGACAGATGAAGCAATTTTAAACAAGAAGCACTCCCAGAGCGCAAACCTCCACCAAGGCAGCTCACTCTCTAGACAGTATTTACTTTTCAAGGACAGTACTTTATTGTCTGTATATTCATTTAGTCTCATTTGTTCTTTTTAAAAGCACTTTAAGAAGTTTTTTTGTGTGTAGTTTAATATCAGATAAGGCAAGGATGATAGATGTTTAGTTTGATTACACAAACATCATGTAGGTTGGACGAATAACAGCTATTGATTTGGTAATAACTTTATATGAATAGCTTAAGCTTTTTATATAGCTTGTTATATAATATTATACTTCAGTGTATTTCTAACTAGGAAGCTCTTTCAATACTTTCTTTAAAGGCATATGTTGGACATTTTAGAGTCATCTTGAAATAAAGGCAAATGTAAAAGTGAGGTCAGATATTATATATTTGGATGCAAACTATAATGTGATATTTACAATCCCAATGTACCAGGATCACTTTCTAAAAGTTGCCAATACAAAGACAGGCAGAACAATTTTAAGCAGTTTTAAAGATTAAAAAAAATATTTTATGAAAGTTTGACCTTTTGACCTTAAAGAAGAGGTCAGAGGTCCAAATGTGATATTTAGAATCCTCATATACTATTCCCTGTATACACCTATATGTTGCCAATACAAACAACTGCAGTAAGAAACATAGTTTTAAATAGTTCTATATAGCATTATTATCACTTTGATGAACACTGTACTGCCTGTGTAGCTTTATTATGTTTTATACAGTAAAGTGATATTGTGATCGAATATGCTAAATTGCACTGCATTACATCAAAAGATTAGGTTTTATATTGAAGATGATCATAACTTGTCCATTTAAAACAAAGTCTAAATCCCAAACTAGAGCCTTATGAATAAAATGGCTGAAATTTCTGAACATTTAACACAATATGCCTGTGAAAGTCCTTGAATTAAAGTACCTTGATTGTTTGATTTAACGTCAGCTATGATAGTGTACGGAGGCAAAATTAACAAATTACCCCCCCAACCCACTAGTGTTAAAAAAAATGCACCAAATTGGATATTATCTGAAAACCAATGCTTGGAATAACAAATCAAATCAAACGCAGTACCTAATGATGGTGTAACGTACAGGCTCTTTCATTTTCACCCCTTATAAATAGAACATGCTTGCGTGAGCCTACATGTTGTGTAACAGGCGGTTTAAGATGAATTGTACTGAAAGAGTGCTTCCTTCCTTAAATAAAATCATGAAAACATGTAGTAGGCAAGTCCAGATCAATGCAATAATTGCTGGTTCAACTGTGGAGCCTTGCAGAGCCTTGCTGACACGCTAACACAGATAAGTGCAAACATGTGACTCCACGTTCGCATGAAGACAGGTGTAAAGGTGAACCAGGTGAAAAGGTACCTGGAGCTCCAACAGAGGGAAAGGTTACTGTTGGGGATGAGCAGTAATCAGTGTTTTTCCTGATGTTTGTAAAGTCTGCTCTGTCCTGTGTATTTTTTGCTGAATGTAAATAAAACGTTATCGTGTAACCCTTTCACACAGTCTTTATAGCTCAGACATTTTCAGTAACACAGTGTAAACACACTCCTTGTGAACATGAAGGAAACCCTTTTGCCACACATTCGGTCGTTGCGCAAACAGCTGGCAGAGTCACAGCTGATGCCATAAATGGACAGTATGAGCGCCGATCCTGAGTCAAGGTCAGAGTGTTAAGCTCTATTTAAAAATCACCTCTCAGACGCACCCAATGACTTTAATACACAACTCTTCATCATATTTTATGTTTCAGAGTTCACAGTCTCTGGCTTGGAACTGAGTCACTTTGGCTCTTTTCATCTTTCCAGACTTTAAAATATAATTTAAAAAATGTACATTTCAAAGTCTTTCTATGACTAGAGGCCAGCTATTTGATCCAGCTCACCAACAAGTTGTGATCAGTTGACAGTTCTGCTCCGATCTTCACAAGAGTGTGCAAGATATACGGCGATTACACGATTCAATTACAAAATCAGAGATTAGGCTACCTGGTGTTAGGTCCACTTATGGACACCTTTATGCTCAGACTTGGTGCTCATTATGGACCAACTGTGGTTAGCACTGAAGTTCAGGAACAGAACCTCACTTGGGTTCCTACTGGGCACACTGTTCCTCCCAATCAAACCATTCAAGTTTAACTGTCATTCCAAAAAAGAGATGGTTTTGTATCCAGCAATGGAGTCACTTCCCAGGGCACGTTCCAGCTTGAGTCCAACCCTGTTCAGAACTCAAGCTGACAATTGAACCAAGGCCCACAATACCTGGTTTCTCCTAACCTCATACACTAGCTCAGGTTAGTGAGTTAAGTGACCCTTTGTCCCTGAAGCCAGTTTGGGAAACCTGTGATCTGACTGCTGCACATTCTACATTGCATCAAACAGCCCCTCCTCTTGATGGTTGGCCCACAGGAAAGCAGGTCCATTCAGTGGTTCCAGGCTGGGCCTCTTCTGGTGCCACAGGCTAAGGCCCAGCCAATTCTTCTCTTTTATTGGATAGTGTAGCAGTGAGGAAACTGGAGAGAAAGAGCGAGGAAAGGCATGCAGCAAAGGGCCACAGGTCAGACTCAAACTGCGCTGCTGCACTCCAGCCATGTGGTTACCTGTTCACCCACTGAGTTAAGTGGCACCCAGGCCGCTCAGAGCGCAGTTTGTGAGGATTACCCTTCGTGCATGAGTTGATATCCCAGTGTTGGTGTTGTTTCTACATCATCATAATAATGTTGGTCCAAGATCAGCATAGCAACTGACCAGTGAAGTTGAAGCTGGTTGGACGGCCTGAGGATGTCATGTCTCCTTTTTTGCAGATATGATTTTTTTGCCTTCATCAAGAGATGACTTCCAGCTTGCACTTGGAAGGTTTGCAGCTTAGTGTGAAGAAGAAGTAATGAGATGTAGCATCTCCAAGTCTGAAGCCATTGTTGTAACCCAGAAAAGGGTGGTGTGCCCACTCTGGGCTTGGTATTAGTTGCTGCCCCAAGTGACGGAGTTAAATAATCACTGAGTCCTGTTTATGAGTGAGGGGAGATGCTGACAGGTAAAGACAAACTGGTGCCATGTCAGGAGTAATGCAGACAGCACACTCAGCTGTTTTTAGGAAGACAGAGAAGAGCGTGAAAGCAAAGCTGTTGATTAGTGGTCAGTCTACATTCCTCACCTATGGCTGTAAACTGTGAATAACAACCAAAATAATTAAGTGCAAAGAGCTTAATACCAAGGGTGTATGGGCTGGTCTTCACAGACAGGGTGAGGAGCTTTGTCATTCAGAGGGACTCAAGAGTAAAGCAAACACTCCTTGAAATAAGCCTGTTAGGGTGGTTCAGGCATCAAACTAGGAAAGACATGTCCAAAACTGGGTGTTTTGGACAGGTCTTACCAGAAGAGCCCTGAGGCAGATGTAAGGCATGCTGGACAGATTACATCTCTCTTCTTGAAGAGCTGCAGGTGGTGGATGGAAAGAGAGATTGCTGAGGTTGTACTGCAGTGCCTGTGTGTGGTATACTCTGTAGCTATAAGATGTGGCACACATACAGTATTACTCTACATTACAAAATAAAGCTTTTGCCTACATTATCTTCCAAAAAATCTACAAGAACAAATCAATATTGCTACAGAATATTTTAAAAAGTGGATTTCACCACTCTGAGTAGATTTTAAGGGTACATTAATTTTTAGCCCATTAATTTGAAACAGGACATCCCTGAGCCCACGTGTTGTGTAACAGGCAGTTTAAAGTGACTTAAAATGTCCTTTCTTGTCATTATAAAGCCCTGAAAACAAAAGAAAAGAGCCCAGACTGAAGCAGTAAAAACCAGTTTAACAGAACCTGACACAGGTAAGCACAAGTGTGTGACTCAACATTCACATGATTGCAGGTGTAAAGGTGAACCAGGTGAAAAGGCACCCGGAGCTCCAACAGAGGGAAAGGTTACTCTCGGTCTGTGTATTTGCTTAAAAGGATTTAAGAGTGAAGAAAAAACTAGATGATTTTTCTTCGTAGAATCAACTTTAATATCTAAAAAGAAACTCTTTTCTTCTTTAATCTTTAATATAAAAATGTCTGCACTGCTTTATGACACTAAAGAATTTGTCCATCCCTGGATCATGAGCAATAATCAGTGTTCTTCACGATAAGATCGGTCTTGCTGTTTTTTCTTTTTGCTGAATGCGAATAAAACATTATAATGTAAGCCTTTAACACCTTTGTGGCTCAGACACATTCAGTTACAGTGTAACTGAAATCCTCGTGAACATGAATGAAAACCTTTTGCCACACATTCAATCACTGAGCAAACAGCAGCTGACGCCGTACACAGACAGCACGAGCTCTGATCCAGAGCGTTAAGCTTCATTTAAAGTCACTTCACAGACAAACCCAACAAACTCTGTCAAAGCTTTAATAAAAAACTCCGCATCATGTTTTATGTGTTTCAG